GGTCGGTTTCTGCTTCCTCCAGCAATAAATCAAAACCTAAATGGAGCGGCGTCCCAGCTCAAACTTCAGGGGAGGTAGGCACATAAGGCCAAACTGCACCCACAGCTAACAGCTTTTTAGACAAACACAGAGCTCAGATGACAGACAAATGAGAGGCTATATGCTGGTGTATTTCACCACTGAGATAGGCTGGTACTTTATTTCTTTTGTAAGATAAAGGATGTCAGAGAGGCTGACAACACACCACATTTAAAGCCATGAACAATGATAAAAACACTAGGCAACCAGGAATCTGACAATACACTTAAGCTACCTGCTGTGATGGACCCTGCTCCCTGTGTGGTTGCTGTAGCTACAGCCTGACAAACACAACCCAGGGACCCTCCTACTTCTCTCTGAATTAATGAACATGCGTGTATTAAAGAAGTCTGAAGGAGACTATTGAATCTGAGCTAATTCAGGTGTAAATAAATCATCGTCTCCATTTGAGTGCATCATAATTGCTGTACTTATTTCCACATCAATTACTGAATCAAGTTATTCGTTTGGAAGAAAAATACAGAGAGCAATAGTTTTGTTTTCAGCTATTCAATGTAACACATAAAAGCAAATTATTCCGGAAAATAATAAAGCCTTTCCAACAATGCATTTGTTTGTAGAGTCATTATACATGAATTGCATAGCCTGAGGCTGCCCGCCCTAAAACAGCTCTCGCAGGTCTGCTTGAATTGTAAAACACAGCCCCTGTCACGCTTTATTTCCTCTTCTCGGGTTTACTTCTTTTTTTCCAATGTGGTGGCATGACTAATGTTTAACCCAGAATGGTGAAGTGTAAAAGCTGCATCTTATTGTTTAAATGATATACATCCTGCCAGTATGCAGAGTGCAGAAACACATTACAGAAGCAGGTGGGGTGGGGGGGAGGGCATTGACCATTAAAATGCATGTGAGCGTATGCATGTGAACGTGTGTGTTTAAAACAATAGGTGCACTGAGGCATTAACGTTTCACATGAAGACATGTCCAAACCATGGTCCAAACGAAACACTGGTTGAAGGATCGTCATTGTGCAGTGGCGCCATCGTGTGCATGTTTTGTGTATTGCAAAACAGTAACTATAATAGCCTATATAAAGGACCGTGTAGAGTAAAACATTTATCAATCAAAAATAGTGTGTGTGTCACATTCCCCACTTACAGAAACCAGTTTGAAAAGTGTAAACCTTTAACTTCTGTTATGCCAATCTAAACAGAAGATGTGAGCCTTTCAATCTGGATTGGATATTATTTTTCTATCATTGTATTTTTTCTTCCATTATTTAACTGATGTACATATGTTTGATTTTTATTTTTTGATAATTAATATTCATTTTTCCTGTTTTCTTCAGCTGCTGTAATGAAAAAAATTCCCCCATGGGGGATCAATAAAGTTTATCTTTATCTTTATCTAACAAAAAGTTTAAAATAAAGTTGTTTTTTTTCTCAAAAGGAATGTTACTGATGTTTATTTCGCATAATGTTTTCTGTTTGACATTGTCTGCTGACACTTTTTGAGCAGCACCCACTTTCATTGAAAACAACAGCCCTCCACCCCCATATAGGTAGTCTATGTGAAAGACAAAGAAAAAAACAAGATAGCGATTTAATTCATGACTTTGTATTCTATCAAGACGCAGGAGAAAGTTATCTCAAGCAAATACACTTTAACTACGTGAGGACAAACACCAGCTTGTGATGTTAACTTCGATCCTAAAGGAGTAGTCTAAAGTTTTTTGTTTTTTTTTTAAGAGTGGGGGATGGTCGGTGCACGTTTTTAGGCTACATCACGTAGGCGATGTTGTAAATCTGGAGTCAGAGGAGCTGATCTTGTTCTACAGCTCTACAAGTCTCTGGTATCAGCTTTCTATCATTAATGGCTTTATATCATAACAAGCACTCAAACTATTGTGCAGCTGATCGACCACCTCCTTACTTCTGTCTCAGAAAACAAACTGAAGCAAGCCGAGATAAATTAGGAACTCTGTGTGAAGCAGTTAACACATGGAGCCTAAATATGCCTAAATAAATAAACATTATTAATACAATGAAATAAGTAATAAGTCATTTTATGGGCTACGAGATAATGGATGGCAAATCCTTATTAGGTTTAATAAAAAAAGGAGGTGAATAATGTGTAGGTCTACTCAGCATCTAAGGTTTCCGACATTCCACGGAAAAGCACGAGTCCTACGTGAGATACGTGTCAGTGCGTGCTGCAGAAATGAATGCATCTTTCTCAGCTATTTCGTCATGTCATTGATTTTCAATAAACTAAAGGGGGTGTGTCGTTTTTATTGTTTCATTGAGTTTTGGAGACGAGCGTTGATTGGCCAGAATGATGCGCCGTTTAATTTAATATTTGACGGTCAAACCACTTTTGTAAAACATCAAACTGCGAAGGCTACACAAGTTCGGTTGGGGGGGGGGGGGGGGTGGTGGTCTGTGAAAGGGGCCTGGTCTATTGACTCATCAAAAGGGGCCCAAAAATGTTACCAGGCAGGGTAGAGAGCTGGAGAACGTGAGCTGAAGCGTCATTGGTTGAAATATAGAGTGGGCGGGACATTCTAGCTTGGGGTATTTAACGCTTTGTTCCATTGTTACAGAGTGTGTTTTCCAGCTGGTCTGGCTCTGAGGCGGGGAAGCTGGACTCTCTGTCCGAGGACAACATTGCACTTTTTTTAATTTTTTTTATTTTTTTTTAAAACAATAGGACCTTTTTTGTTTGTTCGTGAATATGTCTTTTTCTGAACCGTCTTTGAAATATAGAGTGGGCGGGACATTCTAGCTTGGGGTATTTAACGCTTTGTTCCATTGTTACAGAGTGTGTTTTCCAGCTGGTCTGGCTCTGAGGCGGGGAAGCTGGACTCTCTGTCCGAGGACAACATTGCACTTTTTTTTATTTTTTTTATTTTTTTTTAAAACAATAGGACCTTTTTTGTTTGTTCGTGAATATGTCTTTTTCTTGCAACCAGTCTTTGGATGGAAGCTTTCCTCCTTCTCCAGCGGAGGGCCGGGGTTCAAATCGGCTGTCCTGGGGCAGTCTGCTGCAGAAGCTGACTGAGCTGAAAGGGATCAACCAGAGGGTCAGAGAGGATCAGCAGTGCTGCAGGAGTGAAACTGGTGAGTTCTGCCGGCTTTTGTCTGAGGAGGCTCTTTGTTTGTTTGCTCCAAGAAGTTTTTTTTTCTTCCTTTAATTAACCCTAAATCTGAATTCTTTGTTTCAGGTTCTGTAGCAGACATGTCCCTGTCGGAATCAGACAGCAGCTTCCTCTGTTACCCTCTGGAAGAGACTTTGGCTGCAGAGGTTGTTGCAACTATCACCCAAAGTCTCACAGAGGCGTCACACATCCTCGGCTGCTCCAAACTCATCCTCCCCGATTGTCTTCTGCACTATGTCCGTCAAGAGCTGCTCCATTTGGCTGTCAGCGAGCCCTGCGGCCTCAGGGGAGCTCTCATAGACCTGTGTGTGGCCGAGGGGACCAGGACCCTCTATGCACTGTGGACCAAATAGCCGTGGACGCCACCCTGGTTCCGACTTTTCATGTGACCCTGGTGCTGAGGCCGGAGTCCAGTGGGCTGTGGCCAAAGGTGCAGAGTCTCTTCAAAGGGAGCAAGTCACCCATCGCAAGGCACCAAGAGAGTCTGAGGCTGAGTACGAGCTTCAGGGCGATCAAGAGGAAACTTTACAGTTCGGGGGAGCTGCTGATAGAGGAGTGCTGCTGACCGGTCGCTCAGTCTCCGATAAACTGGACTGGAAGTCATGAAAGGAGGCTGCAGAGTAAAGCATTGTGTGCTATCCCTTGGCTCCAACATGCAGTAAATGGCACTATATCAACATGGTCCTGAAATACAATGTTATCTCTCTTTGTTGGTATATGTTGGTGTAATTTGAGGTTTATGGAAACCAAGTAAGCCTATGTTTCATGGCAGCTGAGACTTGGTTGATTTTAAGTTGAACCCTTGGTTGTCTTGTCGTTAACTGTATGTGCTACACTACAGTAAATCAAATACAAGTTCAGGTGTGGGTAAGTAAAAGCACGGTGACAACTACTACGTCTCGTATAGGCTACTTTATTGTCTGTAGCAAAGCAGGGACTACACAGACCGAACAACACCGATACCTCACGTCACTTAAAGCAATATCACTCCGCCAGCCGTCACCATGAGCAACCTTAAAGGCGAAGTGCATCATATCAAACAGTTTCTCTTGCAATTGTATGCAAAGTACAATATGTTGAAAATAAATGAAATTAGCCTTAAATCAAATAACGTTTATCATCTCAACCTGAGAAAAATAAAGATCTATGAAACAAAACTTGTAACTTAAATAAATCTCATCTCCATCTCAGAGGTGTGGCTATAGGCATTATAAAAAAAAAAGCCAGTGTGCCTACAAAAACTGAAATATCTCAAAACTTATATATGGACTGCAAAAGGATATTGTACATAAATTAAAAAGCAGGTACATTTTAGTTTAAGAATTTAAGAAACTTGTTGACGCAAATAGTCTTGAAATATGTTTTAGATATTTATTTCCCTCTCAGGAGGAGTTGTAGTCCCTTAATCTCATTTTAACTCTTCATCACCTCAAAATTTGTCCAATAATGAAATGCTAAACTCCCTCGTTGATAGTTCCTCTCCCCAGAAAAGTCCCCAGAACTGTTTGGTTTGAAAACACCTCTACATTAACCTCCATAGTTTTTGTTTATATAGCAATTTCAGATTAAAAAAAAAGAAGAAACTTTCACAGTCAATCACAGGACATATTTAATTCAAAGAAACTTTCATACAATTTTAGCATGTTAATTTAATAAATATGGTTTACTTTTATTTTGTGCAATGATTTCATTACCTATGTTCCAACAGGCTACAAGCAAATCCACATAATAACGTTATATTAAATGATATTAACTTCAAGAAACCCTGCACTGTTAAAAGTCAAATGAATATTTACAGTGGTAAGAAATATAAAAATTACACACTTTTCCTCGTGAGTGGCTCAGACGTCTTGTCTATGAGAAGGCCATGAGGGTTCTCAAAATGTTAAAAAGGAAAAACAAAAACAGACTGGGACAGAGAAAGCTTATCTTAGCAGCTTCATTTACCATCAAACAGACAACTACACTCTTACTTTTTTCCCCACTGCGACGCCAGATGGACTCTGGCCATCCTGAAGACACTAGAGTAAGAAAATGTCAGCAGTCAACTCAAAGCTTCTCACAGTTCTACAGGAAGTCAATCTACATGGAGTTTGCAGAGAGGTTCCCTGATGAGTTTGCTGCCCACTGCACGTAAGGCATTTTTGATTCTCTTGGTTTGCTGCGGAAAAATATGCTCCAATTTCAGTGGGCTCCGACCGATTTCTTCTTATTTGATTCAAGTACCGACCAACCTAAAAGAAAAAGAATCGCTGTCAGTTATGCAGCTGTCACTCCTCATATGATCGACTTATAGAGGATAACTATACATGCAGAGGAACCACAACATCTACACAAGCTGTGCATTATCACAATCACATGTACAATGCTTTATCATGGGAACAGCTACAGAGATTGATCATCATGCACCAGTTTCTTTCTTTGATCCCTTCATCACCACACGGTAATGCCGTAGTGTGCGGGGTGAGTTGGTGTATAAAAGTGCTTGCAGGAAACATGTGAGACCCCACTGCTGACTCCCGAAGGTGATCCGGTGTCAGTCCCTGCTTGCAACTGCATATCCACGTGTCAATAAGACAAATATAAATCTGAGCTTACAGTTTTCCTGAATGGATTTCAAATTCAAGGCAGGTTTTTTTTTTTTTTAAACCTGAAATCAAATCCTAAAAATTTGGTATTCTTTGGAAAGCTGTCGATTGTAATTATAGCGTCTTTTAACATGCAAAACGCCGAAGTCTGTGCAGGTTATTATATTGTGTGCAATAGTAGGTACAGTGTCTTTTAACTTACCCATTTGTGTGCAAGTGGTTTTCTAGCCGTCCAATATAACTTGAATCTCAGATAGTCTAGAACAGCTGGGAGTCCCCATTCTCTGTGCCCTCTGGTACAACTCGAGTCTCCAAAGTACCGAGCACGATACAGTAAGCCTTCCTCTAAAGGTAGACGAGGGAAAAAGAAGAGTAGGTCAAGAATTTGATCCTTTGGAAGCTGCTGTAATCAACCACAAAATAATTATTTAATCTCAACCAAGGACAGAAAATTGGCAAGAAAAGTAAAAAATGTTTATCGTTTCTTTCCTAAAACTTTCTGCGTTTTGGTCTTTGTAAAAAAAAAACAAAAAAAAAAACTGTAAGCTGAATATATTTTGCATCTCTGTTCATTTTTCTGACAGCTTTAAGATACTACTTGACAAAAACTGTACAATCAGAATAACATTAATCAAAGAAACTGCTGGCTAATGTAAACTTACTCTGCTGCTTTTCCTTCCAACAGTTGTTTCGGAGATTGGAGATGTAATCTTCTTCTACATTTCTCTCAACAGCCTTTAGGTTCGTCCCGGAATATTCCTCATTGAAACGATCTCCCACATAAAAAGTCACCTTCAGGTGTGATGTATGCCTTTTTTGAATATGTCCGGCTGACCTGATTGTGTGAAGGAGAAATAATAACCTTGAGTGAGACAGATTCTGTGAGGAACTTTTGATGTTGAGACAGTTTGACACATCGTCACTTAAAGTTCTCTGAGTGGTGCAGCACTTACGCGCGGTAGCTAAGGCTGTAGGGGGGCTGGGTGACCATCATCTGGCTAAGGGCGGACACGATGATAAGGATTAAGATTGGCATCAGCTGTACGAACAAAGCCAAACCTCCCTGTCCAGAGAGAAAAATAACACACAGTTTATAACATGTTCAGAAGAAACAATACAGTAAAGTAGCTGGTATCAAATCCATGTGCAATAAAAGTATTATAAACAGGACTTACATCTCTCTGTTGTTCTCGTCTTTCTTGCCTATTATGATGTGCAAAGTGCATTCTTCCGTTTCTGTAAACGTGTACGTTACCTAAACAGAATTTCAGAAAAAGAAAAGATACAGTTCCACTCAGTACTGCTGCGTTCACACTGCAGCCAAAAGTGACATGAATCAGATTTTTTATTTTTTTTTGCCTCTATCTGACTCTGATTTTTTTTATGACATTTTTAACAGCCACATGGAATTTGATCTTTTCAAATCTAATTTGGGCCACTTTCATATGTCAATTCCCAGGGGAGTCTAATTCAGGCCACATTTGAAAAACAAAAAAAATCACATCTGAGCAAAAAAACCTAGAATTGAGCAGTAAGGCTGGCAGTTTGATCGCAGCCCAAAGACACAAGAAATCAAAGCCCAAGAGTCTGCAGGCCTTCAATCCATTATCTCATACTTAGCCAGAGAGAAGAACGTGTTGATGAAGTGTGTTTGGTTCATTTCAAACAATGTTTGTCAAGCAATTAGTTGTATATGGTAAGACTGACCGATTCTCTCTAAATAGTCTTTACATTATCCAATTATTCAGTGTAACTTGGCATATTCTGTTTGATTATAATCCATCCTGTCTCATTACAGTGATTTCATACTCTGAAAATGTGTCTATTAAATTTGAGTTTTATGGATGTATTGTTACTTTGTTGTTTTTATCTCTGCTCTGTAAGGTGACCTTGCGTGCTCTGAAAGGCGCCCTTTAAATAAAATGTACTATTTTTATTAACCGGTACTTACAACTAACAGAGAGCCGTCTGTATTTCAACACCATTCAACACCAAACTAGCTGGCCATATTCATGTTGCTGTGAATCTCAAAAAGTCTTGTCGATGAATGAAAGATGTAAATGAGAAGTTCATTTCAAGTTCATTCATGTACTTTGTTTCCCCTTTAACAGACATCAACCTTTTTCTGTATGAGGAAAATACTGACAATCGAAAGGTTGATCATCCAGTCAGGCAGCTCTGTCTCGCTTAGTCTGACTGGAGAAAGATCGCTGATAAGGACTGAGTACTGTAAGAGCCAGTGCACTCAAAATACAACGTAATGGCAACAATTAGCTGAATGAATGTTGACCAACTATCTTAGCAATTTAATTAAAGGTTTTATATGCGATTTTTTTGATCAAGCAGATGTCGCCCTTGAGCACCAGCATGAAACCAAAACAACTCTTGCTGCATTGTGTTAGCATGGTAATGCTAGCGATCTTTATTATGCTCGTATCTTCACACTGCATGTACATTTACCCAAAATGACCGTTATCTAGAAACGCTTACGTGACATTCAATTAAGCAGTATGTTGTTCTTCTTTTCTCTAGTCCCTCAATTAAACAACTTTTAGACGCGATGGGACGAGCCGGCCCGATGTAAACAAACTGAAGATATGACTCGGAAAGCTCGGAAAGCATCGCAGACAGTGGGACTCGGGTGTTACACCCATTGTAGACAGTCATGACTCACAGAGTTATTTTCAGAGGATTTACTTGATTTCTATTATATTTAAGTGTGAAAAATCGCATATAAAGCCTTTAACATGGAAAAAAACATGTGAATTAAACGTTAAAGCTCAATACGTGTTCTATCACTCCATGAGCGTAGCATGATGTGTAGTAGAGAGACAACGCTCTGGAACATTTTCATTTAAAAAAAAAGGTATAAGAAATGTGTATACAATGACATTAAACACAAAATATCAGCAGCATAGTGTGTCTTAGGTAAAACTCAGGCTACCTGGAACACAATAAGAAAGCCTGGCTTACTCTAATATTACTGCAGAGGCATGTGAAAATGTTACTCTAAACATGGAAAGCAAAACACTCTAGGGCATGTGCAGCAACAACACCTTGACTGACCCTGTATTCACTGTCATGCCTCTACTTACTTGATGGGAAGCCTCCACCGAAGAACATGTTGAAGAGGTCCTCGGGCGAGATGTCTGCTTCAAAATCACGATGCTGTCTTTGTCTGGTTGGGTGTGTTCTCTCCTCTCCGTACTGGTCATACTGCCTTCGTTTGTCAGTGTTACTCAGCACTGCATACGCATTACCAATAGCTGAAAGGTATTTAAAACAACACACACAAACGTGTAGTTACTCACAGTTTACATTGACAAGTTCTCCATGGAACCATGCTGAGGAAAATTAGGTTATTGATTTACCTTTGAATGCCTCTGTGGCTCCCGGTGCATGATTTTTATCTGGGTGAAACTTCAGCGCCAGTTTTCTGTAAGCCTTTTTAAGATCCTCCTCAGAAGCTGTCTTTTCAACTCCCAGAATTTGATAATAATCTTTACAGCTTTTAATCCTGCGATTTAAAAACATATAAAGGTATAAACACAATACTCAAAAACATGCAGTTACATCTTCTAATGTATTACATCAAATACATCAGCCAAGATTAAAGATACACCTGTCAATGACACAGAGCGAGCTGCAATGAGAAAAACATACAATAATTCTGAGATTATACCTAAATAAGTAAAGTTATTTATATAGCATCTTTTAAAAGCAGACGCCACAAGGTGCTTCACGATAATATAATAACAGTCAATCTGTGCAAAGCATTTCTAAGAATTTAACAGTGAAGGGTGAGCCAATATTAAAAAATACATGCATTTGGTGGTTCTATGGGCTCCTGTCATTGCTGTCCAGTTTACATAATCTCAATTTACTTAAAAGAAAACATTATGTATATTTATTTTGGTTTATTTTGGACATGTCAGTAGACATATTCATAGAATGTATGTGAAAGGTTAACAATTGCTTGTGTGTTTATGGACAGATGTATCTGATGTCTGCTTTTAAGTTTTTCCCTCTACTTGTCAAGAGCCTCCTCTTTGTGCGGATGAAGATGTTGCCATGAGTTTTTTTTTTTTTTGCCGAACTGTAAATAATTCTTGTAAAATGATTACCATGTTTCACCAACTGAGATATGTAAATATAAATGTGCAAAATATTGAATACAATAAATGTTTGAGTAAAAAATGTAAAAAAAAAAAATAGATGAATTTGAATGTCTTCTGTGTAATCTGTAATTTTTTGCACTAAATAAACAATAATGAGGGTATTCTAACACCTCATCAGTTCTAAATACCTTCAATAATTGTATACTTATAACCCTGAACTCAACTGTATTAATCAGATTGAGATTTTTTTTTTTTTTTTATCATAAAAAGGCACAACATGTTTTACTACAACTGATTGACATGAATAGTCTGTACTTCAAGCTTTCCATCACACACAGAATATCTTCTTTGTGAACATGTCACCTACCTAAAATTCATTTTTATATTCTACTAGATAAAACCAGATAGCGTTATATTACTGACAGATAACAGTAATATTTCCAGCTCTGAGTTTTGTCCACGCTCATATTAATTGAAAAGGACAGATCAGTAGCTGTAGCTCAGTTGGTATCGAGATTTTTAAACGCAGTCTTAAAACTCATTTATTCAGTCTGGCTTTTATATAGTGTTTTATATCAATTCAAATCTTAACATTACTGTATTGTCTTTTTTATCCTACTACAATGTTAAATATTTTCCTCTTATGTATTTATTTTAATATCTTGTTGCTTTATGTGTCGTATTTTATTGTATTTTATTTTTATACATATTTTTTAAATTCTTACTGGTGTGCATTAGTCTCTCAATGATTTTATGAACTACTTTTTTGTCAATAACTTTTCTGCACTATTGTTAAGCACTTCAAACTGCAATTTAATTTGTCTGAAGGTGCTATATAAATAAAGTTTGATTGATTGATTGATAGAGTCGTCGCCTCCGAACCAGAAGGTTGAGGGTTCGGTCCACAGCTGAGCAACATGTCCGTTAACCATGCATTGCTCCCGCACTCTCTGATGTACGTCACTTTGGATAAAAGCTAAGTGAATTGTAACACTGCAACACGGTAACAATGAAACATTGAAACGTTGTAACATTGTCACACTGTAACATTGAAACATTGTAACACTGTCACATTGAAACATTGTAACACTGTCACATTGAAACATTGCAACACTGTCACATAGAAACATTGTAACACTGTCACATAGAAACATTGTAACACTGTCACATAGTAACATTGAAACACTGTCACATTGTAACACTGTCACATAGAAACATTGTAACACTGTCACATAGTAACATTGAAACACTGTCACATTGTAACACTGTCACATTGTAACATTGTCACATTGTAACAGTGTAACACTGTAACATTGAAACATTGTCACATTGTAACATTGAAACAGTGTAACACTGTCACATTGTAACACTGTCACATTGAAACATTGTCACATTGTAACACTGTCACATTGTAACACTGTAACATTGTAACACTGTAACATTAAAACATTGTCACATTGTAACACTGTAACATTGAAACATTGTCACACTGTAACATTGAAACACTGTAACACTGTAACATTGTCACATTGAAACACTGTAACATTGAAACACTGTCACATTGTAACACTGAAACATTGTAACATTGAAACACTGTAACATTGAAACACCGTAACATTGTCACACTGTAACATTGTCACACTGTAACATTGTAACATTGAAACACTGTAACATTGTAACATTGAAACACTGTAACATTGAAACACTGTCACATTGTAACATTGAAACACTGTAACATTGTAACATTGAAACACTGTAACATTGTAACACTGTCACATTGTAACATTGAAACACTGTCACATTGTAACATTGAAACACTGTCACATTGTAACATTGAAACACTGTAACATTGTAACATTGAAACACTGTAACATTGAAACACTGTCACATTGTAACATTGAAACACTGTCACATTGTAACATTGAAACACTGTAACATTGTCACACTGTAACATTGTAACACTGAAACATTGTAACATTGAAACACTGTAACATTGTAACATTGAAACACTGTAACATTGAAACACTGTCACATTGTAACATTGTAACACTGTAACATTCTCATGCACACTGACTTTCTGACTGCCTCCATCTGCTCTGCGGTGTATGGTTTGGCTGAGTCTGTGGCCCCCTGAGCGGACCCATCAGCCCCCTCTGCCTGGCCGCGGTGCCTCATAGTGGGTCCTTCTCCGTTCACATGACTGCCATTCTCTTCTGGAGGTTTTCCATTCTGCGCTAAGGAGTCCAACACGTCTGTAATGGAAGAGTGAAGGCATTCAAATTACGAGCATGCTAGCTAGTTAGCAGTGTAGCTGCTAACGAACACGGCAACGAAGTAAAAGTAAATCAAGATTAAGTAAGCCCCATTTATAGACAGCAATTCATCAAATACATGACAGAAATTGCGAGTGGAAGGGGGGGGGGCGGCTAAAAAAACTACAAATACCAGTGTCGGTTGGGGGCAGCTGGTGTAACGTTAAGTCGGTAATGCTAACGTTAGCTGATTCGGTTTCACAACGATCGTCCTTATCTGACATATAATCATCGAAACAGACGTTTATTCGACGTACTTTGAGCCTGAGTTGTCGGAAAGAGACGCTGTGCCTTCTCCAGAAATTTCCTAGCTTTGTCCGGCTGATTGTTGTTTACTGCAATTAGGGCTATTTTAATGCAACGCTCCGCTTCGTCCTTGTTTGAGTCCATCGCGACACAGCGGAAATGTTTACTTGCCCCAAGACGCGCCGTGATGACGTAGTGTATGGAACGCAGAGCGTGCCGTAATTCACGTCTATTTTGGTTAGGGGCTGTCAAACGATTCATTTTTTAAATCATGATTAATTTATTTCAATAGTTAACTGAGGATAATCTTGCTACTCCAGTGTGGTCTGAAACCATGACTTAGATGCAAGAGATGGATCCAAGTTGCTTATCCTGTGAAATACAGGGTTTATTATTGTTTTATGAAAGAGTAACAGTAGTGCACATTATTAAATATGCAGGAGTTCATGTACAAAATGACTCACCGATTTTCAATGATCTACGGCATGTGGACTTTTCAGGAGCTCCAGGTGCAGTTTTGTCCGTTTGGTCCTTTATGCGTGACACTATTGTTTTCCACGATAACTGGTCACAACATGCCAATTTGAGGACAACCCTTAACTCAAGTCTACAATTCTACAATTCACTTAGCAGATGCTTTTATCCAAAGTGACGTACATCAGAGAGTAAGTAAAACACAAGCAAGGATCTAGAAAAAAGGGGAACAATGTCAGTAAGAGCAAACGATCAGCTTTGAGTCCGATTGGACACACAGGTGCTGACAGGAAGTGACCAGAGGCAAAGCACAACATTGACAGCAGTTCTTGAGAGCTCTAATCAGTATAGAAACCATCTTATAAGTCATCATTATCAAACAAAAACAATCGTCACAACCATCATCATCATCAATAATATGGAGACCATCATCATTAAGTTAGTAGGTATTCATGAAAGAGCTGGGTCTTTAGCTTTTTCTTAAAGGTGCAGAGGGACTCTCTCATATGTAGGAGTTCATGCACAAAATGACTCATCGATTTTTCAATGATCTACAGTTAATGCGACAGCATGTGGACTTTTGAGGAGCTCCAGGTGCAGTTTTGTCCGTTTGGCCCTTTATGCGTGAAAGTATTGTTTTCCACGATAACTGGTCACAACATGCCAATTTGAGGACAATCCTTAACTCAAGTCTTCCACAATGCCTGCAGTCAGTTGCCACCCATTGCAAGGGCTGTAATAACCTTCTTCGATTTTGTTTTAGTCACAGGTCTGTTGTGATTGGCACACTCCAAAAGAGTGCTCTATTAGCCTTAGTGATGCAGCCACCTGCTGACATCAGTCTGATTAGCTGCAGGTTAGCTTAGGTGGAAGCACAAGTGCAAAGAAATTTTGTGGTAATTTAATTCTGTTGGACACAGGGTGCATATTGCATTTGACTTAAAAAATTAGATGTTAGGGAGTTTTTTTTCTTAGAATGAGCCTTTGAAAGAGCACAGCAGTGTCACTTGTTTCTATTACTATGGTGGCAGGAAAATGCTACAACAGCCTGCCTTCCTGTGCGCTAAAGGGACAATATAGCATGTGATTAATGACAATAACAAAATAATGCATTACTTTAAGACCTCAATCACATCATGATAAACGTTATTGCGTGGCCACTGCAATGAGGACTATAGCCTCTGTATATGGGGTGCACTCACTCACTCTAATCACTGAGCTAAACCTGCATCCCACAACAACTATTAATAAAAGGCTTTTTCAAAGAAGAGAGATGCATTATACCTCAATACATATAATTATGTGCAGAAAAAAATCACATATTTTAAAGGCATATAACAGAGTTATCAGTAGTTATCAAAATTAGAGTTCTCTTCACGCAATGTTGTGTTTCAAGGTTTCAAGTAAATTGTAGAAAGTCAAGATACGACTAATTGTACTCTTGGCTTTCCATACAGAGACTGTAGTGGTCTCGCAAATAACACGTCATAAAAGTTGTAACGGTGCTTCGACATGCACTTCAATCCTCATGCAAGCACAACTGGCAGAAACTTGAACCACGGATCAGTCACTAAAATAATTTCTCAGTAGGGAGCATTGTGAAACACCCCAAAAACTGTTCTAACATTTCCTCATCGCACTGGACTGCAAGAATCTGAGGCATCCAAATAATGTCTGTTAATGACCTGTGGAGGGCAGCAATACGCCATGGCTGCGTTTAGTCTACCGGAAATCTGAAAGACGAAGAAGAAGACCACATGCACTTCAGTAACTGTCAGAAGAAACCAGGAATCACATTTTTTAATATCATTGTTTTATATTAGTGGTAGCTTATATACTTTTGTTTAGTTTACTAAAAACTGTCTGAAGGTCGGAAATGGCTTCAGCAATAACATGCTGCAGGTCAGTCGTATTTGTCAAACGCAAAACTCTTTATTTCTACAGGCAAAATAGTAAGTTTCTTTCCACTATTGGTACTGTTCCAGCTGGCCAGAGGAACCGACCATCAAAGAAACAGCTGAGGAAACCTACCTGCCCCGAGGATCTGTCCTGGGAGGAAAGGCTGGCTGATGTTGTCACCCCTCTATGGAGACTTAGTTATGATGAGCAACTTGAAGTCAAGCAAAAGCACCAGGAAAGGATTCTGTCTCAGCTCTGCGGTTATCTTTCAGGTGACTTCACAACACAGTCCTCATCACCTGTCAGAAGTAAACTCAGCTTCCCTGTCCTGTCTGTGCTTCCATCACCAGTGAGGGACGGTTACCGCAACAAGTCAACATTTTCCGTCAACAGAGGAGTGGATGGAAACCCCAGAACTGTTGGATTTTATGTGGGCACAGGCAGAGGGAGAAACATCGTCTGCATCAATGGAGACCACCTGCTCAACATGCCGGAGAAGCACAAACTAGTTGCCAGATGCTACCAGGACTTTATCCGCCTCTCTCCCCTGGAGCCCTGCCTGCTGTTCCACACCGGGGGCCACTGGAGAGAGGTCACAGTGAGGACCAACACAGAGGGCCACACCATGGCTATAGTGTATTTTCATCCACAGTTGCTCACCCCGGAAGAGTTAGCACACCACAAGGCTGAGCTGGTGGATTACTTCACCCGGGGGCCTGGATCAGTTTGCCAGTTGGACTCGTTGTTATTCCAGGAGAGCGAAATGACTCGCTGCACTCACGAGGAGTCTCCTTACCAGCTCCTCTACGGTCAGCCGCACATATATGAGGAGGTAATATACATTACTATCTATACTGTCGCTCTTACTATTAGTCTGGATTGTCTTTAGTGAGTTTTGTTGATCTCTTTTCATCTCACTGTCTATGTGTCACACTCTCTATTTATAACCAGTGTGTCTCTCCGTCCTTCTCACTCTTTCTGACTCTCCTTTTCTTTGCCAAGCCGGTCTAATAGATGATGCTCGTCCACCAATGAGTCTGGTTCTGCTTGAGGTTTCCGCCTGTTAAAAGAAAGCTTTTCTTTGCCTCTATTGCCAAGTGTTTGCTCATGGCGAATTAATCTATTGTATTAGTGGCTCTAAATAATATTCCAAAGAGTCTAGAACCGCTCTATATAGAGAGTTGAACAGCAAATGTAATCATTTCTTTTAAATTTTGATTATAGGGGCCATATTGCAAACTCGTTAGGCCTGTTGTATAAAACATGAAGAACAGTTAGACATTGAAACTGTGAGTTAAAGGCAATATAAACTCTTTGATATATGTTACTTTTTGCACTTCATATCTTCATTGCAATATTCAACAATGATGTTGCATATATTTTTCACATTGTGCATACTTAATGTGGGTTGTTTTGTGGTTTGGCATTATATAAAAATAACTGACAACTGTGAGGCAACAGAGCTAACAACTGCACCACCGTGCAGCCTTAAATGCCTTATGCAGTTTAATAAAAAAGTTTTACAGCACCTGTTGAACTTTGAATCTAAATGTAAACTAAGTTATTTCCCTTTCATATTGAATATATGATTGACAGAGAAGAGGGGATAACACAAAGTCCATACATTACGATAGTATTTTTTAAGTGCTGCTCTTATGTCTTGTTGTCATTCACAGGTGCTGGGCTTCAAGTTCCGCATCTCTGCTGATGCTTTTTTCCAGGTGAACCAGGCAGCAGCTGAGGTGCTGTATCGTACAGTGAGAGACCTGTGCCTTCCAAACCACAAGAACGTTGGAGGAAGAGCTACCGTTGGTGGTACCCTCCTGGATGTGTGCTGTGGGACAGGTGCCATCGGTATCACTATGTCTCACAGAGTGGACCGAATAATCGGCATAGAGCTCATAGAGCAGGCGGTGGAAGATGCGAGACACAATGCCGTTCTCAATAATGCACTGAACTGTGAGTTCATCCCTGGAAAGGCAGAGGTGGTGCTTCCTGGTTCTGTGTCTCAGTTGAGCTCTGTAGGTGGAGAACTTGTTGCAGCTGTGGTGAATCCTTCTCGAGCTGGCCTGCACCACAGAGTGGTCCGAGCGTTACGAAACCAGCCGGCCATCCGCAAGCTGGTCTTTGTTTCCTGTAAACCTGACGGAGAGGCTATGAGGAACTTCAGGGAGCTCTGTTGTGCTCCTGACCCACAGAAGAAACTCACAGGAGAAGCCTTTTCTCCAACTCTGGCTGTGCCCGTGGACATGTTCCCACACACTCCCCATTGTGAACTGGTGCTACTTTTTGAGAGGTAGCCAAACGTTTTGATTCAGAAGTGAGCCTCAACTTATCAGTTACAACTCTGGCTACTTTAGAAAGGGAATTGAACCACAATGATCTGTATGATATATGATATGAAAAATATGTAAACACAAAGGTATTCCACCTGAGGTTTACCCATAGAGTTAATTTATTTATTTAATTTGACTTCTAGGATTAATGGTTGGACTGCAAAAAAATAATCCTATAAACAACTATTCAAAAATGTTCTTCTGGATTAATAAAGTTCTGTTTTATCTTAACTTTTATTGTCTTTTTCTTACTTTATGATAACTGACTTTTTACGTATGAAAAAACAGAAAATCGATGCCCAAGTTGTTTTTTTGTCTGGCAGACTGTCTAAATTATGTGTACAATTACAAACGATAGGAATCATAAAAAAAGGACCAGTCGTTAGAGCTGAAAATTTGTACCAGAAAACGTAGCTGATTATTTATTTTCTGCTGATCAGCGAAGTCTGTTTGCATTTACTGATTTTGCT